AGAGAGAGAGAGAGAAGAAAACCCAATCAAATATTCAAGAGAGAGAGAGAGTAAAAAGGAAGAAGCGAATCCAAGAGAGTGCGCTTGAGAGTGAAAAAAGTGAAACCCAAGCCAAGAGAGAGTGAAAAAAAAAAACCCAATCCAAGAGAGAGAGATGGAAAAAAAAAAAAAATCCAATATCCATTCTTTTTTAAAATTTTTATTTCTCTTTAGTTTTGCTTGCATCAAATTTTTCTACTAGTTTTGAGAAATGATCATTAGGTTCTCATATAGTGAAATAAATTTTCAATTTTTGGATGATTCATCATCATCATCATCGTCATTATCATCAAAGCCATTCCCAACTATTTGGAGTTGGCTATACGAATATTGATCCGCCATTCTTCTCTATCAAAGACCATACCTTCAGTGCGGCCATAAGTCTTTTCTTTCTCACTACGTCCAACCATGTCTTTTTGGGCATATCCCTTACCTTTTTAGAGTCTTCCACTTGAACCAACACACACCTCCTAATAGGTGCTGTATTGGGTTTGCGTTGTACATGGCCAGCCTACCTAAGTCTACTTTATCTCATCTTATTGTCTATTAAAGCCGCATTTAAATTCTCCCTAATGTATTCATTTCAAATTCTACTCCATCTTGTCTTGCCACTTATCCATCTCAATATTCTCATTTCAGCTGTACTCATCCTATAGGTATGTTGTTTCCTGGCCGCTCAACATTCTGCCCCATAATGCAAAGCTGCATTCATTGCTGTCCTGTAGCACTTCCCCTTCAGCTTCATTGGTATGCGACATTCACATAAAACTCCAGTTGCACATCTCCAGCACCCATCTCTAATTCTATAAGCTTCATTTTCCTAGATTATTGATCCAAGATATTGAAAGTGCACTTTTTTTGATATTTCTTGGCCGTCAATCTTAACTATTTCCTTGTCTCTGTTCCTATTATTACTGAATTTGCATTCTATATACTCTGTCTTAGTCCGGTTAATTTTAAACTTTTTGATTCTAGAGCATCTCTCTAAAGTTTTAACTTTGTGTTGACGCCCCTTCGGGTCTCATTGATCAAAACCAAGGTTTAAAACAATGGATCGGTGACTCGACTCGGTCGCACCCATACTTGTGTCGGATCGGAGAATCGGTGGCATCGGCAATTTTTTTCTCAAATTTTTTTTTTAAAAAGGTACTATAAATCTCTAAAAATAGTGTTCTTTTACTTTCTAAAAGAATTTAGGAGTTGTGCATTATATTTTAATTACTTTGTAAAAATAGGTGAATACTGAGATATTGTTTTCCTATCTGGGTGTCTGTATAATTAATCACAATATAATATTATAATATTACATCAATATAATTTTAAAATACTAGAAAACATTTTTATATTATATGATTAAAAAATAATAATTTCTCATGTAAAATGAAATTAGTATCCCATCAAAGTAACAAATATTTATTAGTTCGCTTTACTAATCCAAAATTATTACAACCTAACTAACTATAATATTATATACTAAAATTGAAATTATTGGTTTACATTTTGTAATTATTTCACTATACAAATAATAACAAATCCAAAATATCTTATAATATCATCTAATTTAAAATATATTATTGACAACTGTAAGAAAAATAGTACATTACATAATTCATGATGCAAATAAATTAATAAATAAAATACAAGATTTGGTTATCAATGTAGAAATTATTAGAATGTGTACCAATTTTCGAAATAACACTTTAATTTATCAAAAATATAATTTTTTAGGTTTGTAGAATAAATTTAGTGGAAGAGATTGTTAGTAGAGAGAGAGAGATTTCAAGTGGCCCCATTGTATGAACCCTATCTTTAAATTAATATTCCTAAATTTATGTTAAAGGCCACCATGTTATAAAAAATATATATAATTAAACCATTTATTCCTAGGTAAAAAAAAATCTAACAATAGGCATTGATATATGAGAGAGAGAGAGACATTGATATATGAGAGAGAGAGAGAGAAAGAGGTAACATGCCCCAAGCCTCCAACGGTCCAATGACATTGTGCAAGGTGAATGTGACGAAATGTCCCACATTGAAAAAATAGAATAAGTTCGATGTGAATAAAAGCCTCCTCAGTACCATGTTCAAATGCGTGCTTGAAAAGCATGTAGAAGCATGAGGCAGTGTGCTCATAGTTGATAGGAGCACGTGGCGCTAGGTACCATGTAAGACAAGATAGGGGCACAGGTGGCCATGTGACAAGAAGTACTTGTACCGCACAATTGCCCCGATTTTTTAAAAAAAATTAAAAAAATGCCCTCCTGACCGATTTACTGTGCAGACACGGGCGGATCTCGTTTTATGGCTAGATCCGTAACGGTCCAGCCGATACCTGATCTAGATCGCCTGATTCCGGATCGGATTACCGACTATTTGAACACTGATCAAAACTATGTTGTTCATGGATAACATACTCCACAATATTTCATCTTATAGGTGCCTAGTTAAGTCATCAATTATTAAGATAAAGAGGTATGGGCTCAACACAGACCCCTGATGTAGACCTATAGCCACTAGAAACTCACTCGCCTCTCCACTAGTTGTTTGCACACTAGTTAGTGCTCCCTTATGTATATCTCTCACCAGGTCAATATAGTATCTGAAGACTCCCTTCTTTTCCGACACCCACCAAATTGAATCTCGAAGTCCTCTATCATCATAAGTTTCTCTAAATCAATAAATACCATGAGGAGGTCTTTTCTTTTTTCCCTAAACTTCTCAATAAGTAGCATAAGTAGGAAAATAACCTCAATTGTTGACCTCCCTAGCATAAAATCGAATTGGTTTTCTGATACAGTCGTTTCATGCCTTGGTTGTTACTCGATCACTCTCTCCCACAGCTTGGCTGCCTACTAACACAACCCACCTCCTTTACCCGGGCTTGAGACGGGTTAAGGGAAAGTTTAAGGTCCTCACCCTTCTTAAACCATTGTTATTTGGATGATCAAATTGTTCAAAAAAAAAGAAAAAGGAAAAAGAAAAGAAAAAGGAGAGATGTCACCTTGTCTTATTTTTCATTGTCGGCACGCCTTACAAGATTATTACATGTTAAAAGTATACTACAAGGTACAGTTAACAGTTTCAGAAAAAAAAAAAAAAAAGCATATTACATGGTACATAAGAGAACGGTTTGCAAAAGTTCAAAACAAATTATGTAAGGTGTGAGACCACTAATAAGATTTAGTCCCACATCACAAGTTAAACATTTGCAGGAGGGGGATAACATTTGTAAAACAGGAACATGGTGATAGGTTGGGCATGTGGGTAGTCAAGCGCGTGTCTTGTGGTGCCAAATCATGAACATGATGGGCCATACTACCCTTGTTTAATTAAAAGAACTTGAAAAAAGAAATAAAGGCAAAATTCAAAGTTGGGGGAACCGGGTGGTACGAATTGGTTCTCGATAGAATTAAGCCAATTTGTCAGAGAACCGGCCAAAACCGGTCGGAATCAACCGGTTCATAGGGGGAACCAGCCGGTTCCCGATGTTTTATGGGATCCGGATAGGCCTGATTGATTCCCGATCCGGATCGGTTGGTTCAGGTCCTGATCATCGATTTTTAAACACTGACTTGAACCACATCAATCCTCCTAACCGGTGTTGTTCTAGAGTATTCCTTACATATTGACATATATAATATTTTAACTATAAATTCGATTAGAATGATGGCCGTTGTATATGGTAATTATTGTTCCCTGCGATGAAGATTATTAGAAATAGGAGTTTCAAAGTTCTAGTTTTTAACTTCATTTGTCTTCTTTCTTTCCAGATCATTCCAGACCCCGATATGTTCGTGTGAATTCTTTGAAAATAGATGTAGGATGTGCCTTACAAGAATTGGCTAAAACAAATGAGGTACGTTTCAAAGTTCTGAAAAGTTTGTCATGTAAAATCTTCAAACTTGGTCTTTTTCTATTTTACATTGACCAGAATGGAAGAGTTCTCATGGACTCTGAGATCTGTTTTACACAAATATAAATGTCGACTGGATTAGTGCAAACCGATCAGGATTAGCAGAAAACAACTAAAATCATTGATTGGTTGGGTTCCTCTGGTGTAGGAATATTGGTAATTTGCGGTATAATGAGTATGAATTTGTTCTTTGTGTAGGTCAAAATGGATGATTTGGTTCTAGATTTGCTCGTGCTTCCACCGGGAACAGATTTGCATGACCATCCACTTGTCCTAAATGGAAGTGTTTTCTTGCAAGTAACTTTTTGTTCTCCTTAAGCAACTCTTTCTAGAACATACTTGGGAGCATCTTGGGCCATGCTTAATGTTTCCATTTGGGTAAATAAGAAAGAAAAAGTACTAAATGAAGGGGTTTTCTAACTGCATTGTTATTTAAATTTAGGCCGGTACTTGGTGTTATACCAGTGTACTGGATATTCCATGCACATATGTTACATTTGTATAAACATAATACATGCATGTGTAAAATGTTATTAGGATTATCATGGGTGCCCTTCAAAACTTTCATTCTCTACATCCGTAGGTGTAGAGGTACGGTGCTCTTCAAATTTTATCATGGTATATAATTTTGATGTAAAATGTTATCAGGATTATCTCAAGTAGATCTATAAACATATGAAAATCTTGAAAATGGATGGTGTAGATAATATGTTTTAAAATGCACTATTTCTGAGACTTAAAATCTTTTTATTTTTCATGGTCATACATTTCGATGTCGAGATGATCAATCTAAGGGTTTTTCAACATTAAAACTACCTTTTCCGATGGATTTTTGAGGGGCATCCATAGTTCTACATTATAAGGTAGCATCCTTATATAAACTTTTTCCTTGTTATATACACGAGTGTGTGTGCAAATAATTGACTTCATTATTTTTGGGCAAAAATACATAAATTTACTGTAAAGCTGATAGTTATGGAAGCAGTCAATTCATCTAAATCTTTTGAACTATTTATTAATGGTGGCCCTCAATTAGAATTTTGCAGCAATGCAGTGTGTGACATCTGGGAGACTCTGAGCGAGCATAGTTCTAACTTCAAAAAAAAAAGAAAAAAAGAGTGAGCATAGTTCTTTCAGCATTGTATGGGTGTACCCCATGGTTGCATATTTTTTTCCATTATTGACATTCACTTTGAATCAATGCGAAATTATTTGTAAAAAGGGAGCCCCCATTCTTTGAACTTACAAATCCAACTTGTCACTTACCCAAGCTTATCTCAGCTCATCTTTATTAGAGAAGAGCACTTACTGCACTTGATGTCAAGAACTTCGGCAGCTGGTAATTTTAACCAGAAATGGATATCTTATCCCGATTTGATGGCTGCATGCCAATTCAAGCTTTTTCTGCCCCCTCCCCCCCCAAAAAAAGGAAAAAACCCACCCAACAAAAGGAAAAAGCAAGAGAGAGAGAGAGAGAGAGAGAGAGAGAGAGAGAGAGAGAGAGAGAGAGAGAGAGAGAGAGAGAGAGAGAGAGAGAGAGAGAGAGAGAGTAGAGTAGAGTAGTAGTAGAGTAGTAGTAGTAGTAGTAGTAGTAGTAGTAGTACGTAGTAGTAGTACGTAGTAGTAGTA